GTCCCTGTGCTTTGCTTAGCTTAGCTTGTTCTAAGTACGTGCTTTAGACCACTGAGACATCTCACCAGTCCCGAGGGATTCATAGCTCTTAAGCAACAGCTGGGAGCCGCTTTCCTCAGGATCCACTCAAACCCAGCACAGCTTCCAAAGCCCAAGGGTGGGACCCTTGTGAACTAAACACAGGAACCTGCCACAGTCAACTCCACTCTTGCCCTCAGCCAGCTACCCTTCCCAGCCACTCTGGGGAGGGAAACAGATGCCTGGGGAGACCCTGATGAAGCTCAAAACCCATGACCAAGCCATAGGCACCCCAGAGTACAGCACACACGCAGGTGGGGCATTACAGCCCTCTTAGAGCTGGTGCCAGGCAGAGCCTGGTCAGTCACACAGGATGGCCACATCACATGCTTGGGAAGCACCTCTAACAACAGGCAAGAAAAGGCACCACAGGGCTTTTCTCACACAAGAACATGAGACCACAGGCAGCAAGCACGAGCAGGGAAGGGGGACACTGCTCTGTGCACACTGTGCTCTGCTCCCATGTTCTCTCCTGCAGGCAGCTAGGAAACGCTCCAGGTCAGTCCCTCTCATGGTATCTACTTGAGGGAAGACAAGCTTTACTATGTTAGCCTGGGTTGTAACTGATGAGTTTTTTTCAGGTGCCCGGCGCAGCACAGCAACAGGCAGAAGTTTCGAAAAAGGGAAAGGGGCTTTATTATCTTGGAGGACACAGAGAGAATGTGGGGAAGATGAGGGATTCTCTGGATTGGCACAAAGGGAGTCTGAGGCTTTCATGGCCTTTTGTTAGGGGTGGAGTTTGGAAGGATGTTTAGATAGACCTGAGGGAGCTGACTGGGGGGCTTCCCTGAGGTGGCAGGAAGGGTGAAAGGAAACTATACCCTGGGCTGAGCTGGAGAAGAAGGGGAAGGTGTGGTCTTGCGAAGATGAGCTTTTGTTTTAAGGGCATCAGCCATATCAGACGACTACCATAATGATTCGGCAATTCATACTAGGGCCAGAACCTATCAGTAACAGCTGCCTGACAATTACACTGTAGTCTGTTGTTCACTAAAAAGTATGTACTGGGGGCCGGTGAGATTGCTCTGCAGTCTAAAGTGCCTGCTTAGGCAGGCCTAGAGACTGTAGCTTGATCCCCAGCACCACATGCTACGTCAGCCCTGCCTCCAGGGTGGGCTGAGTTGGACACACACACACACACACACACACACACACACACACACACACAAAATATGTCCTGAGGGGTGAGGGGCCGGGGAGATGGCTCAGTGGAATAAGCGTTTCCCTGGCATGCGTAAGGGCCTGAGTTCAATCCTTGGTTCCACCAAAAAAAAAAAAAAAAAAAAAAGTATGTCCTGGATGTGGTGGTGCCAGCTTGTAATCCCAGCACTTGGGTAGCTGAGGCAGGAGATTTATTGCAAGTTTGAGACCAATCAGGGCTACAAAGTGAGTTCAAGGCCAGTAATCCCAGCACTATGGCAGGCTGGGCAGAAGGATCACAAGTTTAAACCCAGTGGGGGGATATAGCTACAGCACTTGCCTGGCAAGCAAAAGGTTCTGAGTTCGACTCCCAGCATTAAAAACAAAACAAAACAAAAAACAAACCATAAATCCAGTGAGGACAACTTAATGAAACTGTCTCAACATTTAAAAAAAAGATTGAAAAAGACTAGAGAATCAGCTTAAGGTAAAGGCCCTAAATTCAATCTCTAGTTAAACACACACACACACACACACACACACACACACACACAGAGTACTCTGGGAAACTACATAACCCTCATGTTGGCATAAAACAGGATACTGTGACAATCTTTTTTAAAGTTAAGCACTCAGGAGACTGAGGATCACTGTGAGTTTGTGGCCAGCCCTGACCTTCAGGTGACTGTCCTATGCTCCAGCACACCTCGCCTGCAGTGCCACGGAGCAGGGACCCACAGATGGGCATGTCCAGTGGGACTGCTCTCCCTGGCTGGAGGGGCCTCACAGCCCCAGTGGGCAGCACGCAACAGACCATGTCAGGGCACAGCCCAAGAAACACGCACCGAGCAGCTCTCAGGCCAACACCAGCGTCCAGGTATCCCGCACAGGCCTTTCCCAGGCCCCTCCCAACACAAGCTGTACCTTACCCACCTGGAAGGCCAAGGCCAAGATGCTCCTTGCTGCAGGCACGTCCCCTGCCAACCACTTGGATTTAGCTCCCATGAGCCAAAGCACCTCTGCCTTGGGGCAGTGGGCCACAGCCCTCTGAAGAAGTGCTTCTAGAGACTCCCTGCAGGACAGAGGCCACAGTCACCAGAGCCAGGCAATAAACCAGAGCACACAGCCATGGCCTGGATACCCAGAAAGACAGTTACCATTCCAAAGTTCGGCACTATAAATGATTTACCAGGTTTTACAATGGGGAGAGTGTGGGGAAATCATTCCTCTCTATAAATGATCTAAAATCAATGGCTGAAGAGGGTTCCACAAAGCCTCACTTTGTTTAAATAGCAGTCTTTTATAGTGTGTGTCCTGGAGGCAGAGATAACATCAGGTCAGGTGACAGGGGAGGGCTTTTCATCTCAAACCACAGAGGACATCCTGGATCCACAGATAAAGATAAGGGTCCCTGACAGCTGAAGAAAAATGTCTTACTGGGGAAAAGTGGTTTTAGGTCAATATCAGGTGTTAACCCCAGACTCTGAGTGAGGACTGCCTTTTGATGCTAACCCTGGACTCTGGGTGACCCACTGCCTTTTGATCACATCATCCTCACTGCTGACTGCTGACTCCTTTGGGGCTTAGTGTGCACAACAACTAGGCCAAGTCAGCACACAAAGCCACACCACAGCCAGACATGGCGGCACACACTGTAATCCTAGCATTCAGGAGACTGAGGCAGGAGGAATGCCACGAGTTTAAGGCCTGTCTGGGCTCATAGTGAGTTCAAATTCAACCTAAACCACATAGAGACTGTCTCAAAAACAAAAAAATAAACAAACAAAAAAAATCACTGCACAGTAAAACTCCTATGATGCTAGATTTGGTGTGTGCCCAGTTTGAAAAAAGGTTGGTTGACATCTGTAGAAATTGTTGAAACGTTCCTTTTAAAAGGAAATACAATAATCTTAAATATTTTTTTTTAAAAAAACCCACAAAACCACATGAAATAAGGCAGGCCTCATAGAGCAATACCATTCTCCCTGAGTCCCAGACCCCAGGACTACTGTGTCCCCTCTGTCCTGGGCGCGCAGTGCAGTAAGAGGAAACTGACCACTGAGCCACTGAATAGCCAGCAGTGCATGCTCAGACCTGGGCCACAATGTTTCAGTGGACAGCTGGCAGATGGACCTGCCCTGTATGGCATTTCCAACGTCCCAGGTAACACACATGAGAATGAACTGTCAGGATCATTTCAAAATATCTCTATTTCCCCTAAGTTTCTGTTAACTGACTTTTTTTTAGGTACTATGACTCAAACTCAGGACCTTGCACTTGCCAGCCAGGCTGTTGCGCCGCTGAGCTACCACCAGTTTCTGTTCACTCTGAAAAACCACACCAGTTGGTAGGGTGGAGAGGGGACTGGAGTTTCAGCAGAACACATGCAAAGAGGTTGTGAAGAAACTGACATTAAACAATGCCAAAAAAGGAGAAAAAAATTTAAAAAGGAGAAAACAAAAGAAACAAAACAAAACAAGGGCTCAGTGTTTCCAGCTGCGGGCTCAATGTAGAACATGAGGCCCTGTCCCTACCAAGCACAGAAAGCAGCTGAGGACCCAAGAGGGGACAGATAAGATAGATGGAGGGTGTCCAGAGACAGGAACTTGATGCTCTAGAGAGCTACCCATTTAAAACAAGAAACTGCAAGGCCTAATTTCATCAGCATTTACAGCCAATAAGGAAAACCTGAAAAGCTTTTTTAAATTAAAGAGTACAATTAAAGAAAATTGTAATGGACCTCCTCTGTGCATAAAACACAGCCAAACCAAAACCAGCAGAGCTTAAATGAAAAACAGCCTTACATGTTCCAGATGCTGACTTGCCCACTGCTGAAGCCAGGGCCTACCACCATGCTGGCCCCAGCCGCAAGTCCCACTTCTGGAGTCATGGAGCACTTGGCCAAGACAGGTCATCTTTACACCTTTTCTCAAATGTAAGAGCGATAATCGTACTGCACAAGGGACTCTAAAGACCAATCTAGCTGCAAAGTCCCAAGAACAGCCATAAAAGCTTCTGCCCTAATCATAATCTGTCCCATAACCACAGAGGGCCAGACCTCTCAGATGGACACACTCATGAGTCTACAGGAATGCAAGGTTTAAGATCAAACACCACACATACGTGAGTAGGGTTTAATAAGCTCACGGGGCAGGTGGGTCCCACACATACCTGGTGCCATGATTTTTCTCAAAGTATGCGGCTCGCAGCCACACACTCTTCTTGCTGGGGAATACTTGCAGGGCATAGGCGTAGATGGCTCGTGCACACTCCAGGGCGTTGTGGGCCACACACTAGAGCAGAGAAAGATATGAGGGGTGGGTCAGTGTGCACCAGATGGATGGATAGATGGCTCCCAACCTCTTACGGTTCTCAGTGATAGCACCTGCTAGGAAGTACATAACGACAATTGATCTAATCAGAAGTACAGCTCAGGACAAAGACATCAGAGAGGGACTTTTAGTTCAAAGCCATCCTAGGCAACTTAGTGATATTCTCTCTAAATACAACTTAAAGAATTGGGGAGGGGAAGACATGGTAGTAGAATGCTTACCCAGCGTGCAGAAGGCCTGGGGCCGGTACCTGTACGGGGGAGTGGGAGGACCATTTCCACTGGTTTACGTCTCAACTACCTTACTTGGAACAAAGTGCATGTCACTGGAGACAAAGTCAGGACTCAAAATGCCAACCTCAAAGTGTCTTTGGCTTCACACAAAGACACCAGCTGTGGGTCATGTATCTCAATCTAAGGAGGAACCTTTACTCAATCCAGATACAGGGGTTGGGAAATAACTCAGTGGCATAAGTGCCTGCCTGGCAAGCGCAAAGTCCTGAGTTCAATCCCCAGGACCCCTAAAAAATAAAGAAAAAGAAACAAAAAACCAGATATAAAGGAGAGAGCACACACCAACGAACGGGCAGGGAAAGCTCTCCACAACCTATAATTCAAGCTAACAAAGTGCATAACAAATAGTATTTAGGAAATCAGTGTTTGGCAAACACCAAAATAATAACTGAGGGGCTGGTGAGATGGCTCAGTGGTCTAAAGCACCTACTTAGAACAAGCTTAGCAAAGCACAGACACCGCGGTTCAATCCCCCAGCACCACATGCCAGCCAGCCCGCCCCCTGGTGGGATGAGCTGGCCACACACACAAATAAATAAATAAAATTAAAACAAAACAAAACAAAACAAAATAATAACTGATTCTGGGCAAAAACACCATTAGTATATTCTTTGGTTTGTTTGGGATTTTTTGTCTTGGAGCTTACTTTGTAGCCCATGCTGGTCTCAAACTCCCAACAATCCTCCGGCCTGATTGCTGGGGTTCTGGCATGTGCCACCAAGCCTGGCTCATTAACATACTCTTACACTAGTAAACCAAAGTTTGGCAAGAACAGGCAAATTGTCTCCAAAATATTACCAACCATAAAGGAAAAAAACAGGAGGAAAAACCTAGCAGCCATCACTCTGACCTGCTGATCAGAGTAAACAGGTACCTGCACCTTCACAATTGACACAGGGCAAGACATAATGTCCTGCCAAAGACACAGCCGCAGCCAGCCATGAGTAAGCAGCACAGAGGTCCAGGTCAAAGGGGATGACTGGACTAGCTGAAGGGCAGTACATCCTGTCATGCCAGCACCCTAGGAAGCTAAGGCAGCTGGACAGCAAGATCAAGGCAAGCCGGGCCAGCTTGGTGAGACCTTATCTCAAAATGAAAAGTAAAAAGGGCTGGACACATAGCTCAGTGTAAAGCTCTGAGTTCAACTTCATGCATATTCATAAAACTTTACAAAGGATTATGGATGTAGCTCAGGGCTAGCATGCAGAAGGGCTTGAGTTCTATCTCCACAACCACAAAAAACAAATCAAACCAAACAAACAAAAGCCACAGACAGACACTAGAAGAGAGCAGAGTGGTGAACAGCAGAGAAACAGCCTCTCCAAAATTTGGTGTCCAGACACTGGAATATAACAACTTGGGGAAGAGGAAAAGGAGGAGAGTGGGTCACTTGGATCCAGGAACAATCTGAAGTGAGAATTACAGTTCATGGGAAGAGTGGAAAGAGAAACTTCAACAAGAAGGTGGCAGGCAGGGCCTTCTCCCTGGGCACAGACTCACTGTGTAGGAGGCAGCTCAGGCCTGCAGATGAGCCCCAGAGGCTTCCACAGATGCGCTGCGGCTGTTGAGCGGCCCAGGGTGCAGACGTCCCAGGGGAAAGGGTGACTGGCCCGCAAGAGCCACCTGAGAGGGGTCAGCTGAGCTCTGAACTCAGAACCGATGGCTCCACCTAGTGGCCCCCAGCCAAGTCAAAGCTCAGAGAATGCTCACAAACAGCATGCTGCAGGCTGAACAAGGCGGTTCCAGCCTCATGGCCAAAACCCAGCTCCAACTTCAGGGGGAAATAAAGGTGCAGCCTTGCTGAGATTATTTACTACCCTGCCATAAAACGACCGCTGGCCAGCTGGGATGAATCAACATGCATCTGGACTCTGCCCACACTGCCCACCAGTGACAGCAAAGACACTTTGAAGTGGACCTTTTTTTCTCTCATTTTTTGTTTTCTTTTTTTCCTCATTGTTCATTCTTGTTTTTATATGAGTGTGAACATGGCTTCTAAATCTTTTGTGGTTGTTGCTCTGTTCTGTCACTGCTTGCTTCTCTTTTTCTGCTGTTTTCTGCACAGTTTCCAAAAGTTTGTATGATATTCCTTTGTCTTCCAGACTGGCTTCTAATCTTTTTCTATTTTTATTTTAAATTTTCTCCCCTGAGGGTAAAATTATCATACTGAGGGCTTACGCACCACACACACGTTTCTGGTTTGTTTTATTTTTTTTAATTTTTTTATTTATGTGTGTGTGTG